TTTATCACTCTCTGCCCAAGAAAGCACGAAGATCATACAGAGCCAAAAGTTCCCTGAAATTCTAGGAGAAAACAGGCACCCGCCTGCCCTAGGGTCTCTGCCTACGGGGTTTCTGCAGGATGTTCAAGAACAGCATCTACCAGCCTGGTCACACTGTTCAAAAGAGGCCAAAGAGACAGCACCATTTTTTAAATATTCCTTTGGAAACCATCAACTCCTACTGAAAGCATGAGAGCTGTTTTTTAAAGTCCACTGGAAGTAGGTTCTTAATAAAAGCAGCCCAGGAAAAATCTTATAACTTGCTCAAACCAAAAATGCTTCTTGCACCATAACGTGCACACATAGTGCACAGTGTACCATAACGCGCTCTTTCGCTCATTCAGCAAAAGCAGGGGCCAGAGCAGTCAGGCAGAGGAGCCCAGCCTCACAGGGCCGGCGCCGCTACGAGACACACGCTGCGAGGAGGTGTGCTGTGCCGCCCAGGAGAGGGGCCCTAAAGGGACTTCGGGAACGGAGATGCTGACAAGAAGGCCAGGGGAGCAAGGCCACGCCCAGAGCAGTGTCCCTGGGGGCAGGAGAGGCCTGTGTGAAAGCCTGGAGACGCGAGGAGAAAGGGGCCAGGGGCTCTGGGCTCAGCAAGGGAGGCCAGTCCCAGGGCGCAGGGCTGGAGGGGGGCAGGCAGAGCAGCGTACTCCGATCTCCATCCCTAGAAGGTGATGCTGGCCAAGCAGAGGATGGCCAGGCAGGCAGAAGCGGGCGGGCCAGTCCTGAGCGTCCAGACCAGCAGGTGGGCCCAGCCAGGCCACAACAGCAGGCCGCGCTCCTCGGGGCAGGGAGAGCTGGAGGGGAGGAGGAGCCTCTGGAGCTCCAGGGACCCCCAAGGCTCCAGTGCTGCGGCATCCGTGCACTTAGGCATCAGCCTCGGACCACTCTCCCGGGGTCAACCCCCTTGGTGACCGAGAGTTGAGGGAGGAAAGCCCGTGAAGGAAACACCACATTCACACTTGTCCCCACCGAGAACTTGGCCCTTAACATCACAAAACCACTTCCCCAGAAAGGGTGACAGATGCAGAGGTGACAGCAGCAGGGAGACCCAAGCTGGCTGGCAGGGTGAAGCATAGGAGCAGGGGTCCTCTGGGGGTCTCGCGCAAGGGCAGAGTTCACAATCAAGGGCTGTGGCTGCCAAGGAAGCCTTGACTTCCCATTCGTCAGAGTTCCTGGCAAGAAACTAGCAAGTGGCTGGTATCCAACTGCAACAGATTCCCAAGAGCCTCCAAATGAACTTGAGCAACGGGCTTCAGGGGCAGGGGCATCTGGTTATGACAGAAGAGGCAGTGGAAGAGCCGCAGGGTGGCCAGTGTCTCCTGCAGGGGCACAGGCTAACATACTGGCCACCATCCTCCTTGAAGGGACACCAAGAAGCAGTCCTCACTCTGGAGCTGTGGGGTCAGTTCTGCTTCAGGGGGACACTGAGGAGATTAAGTGCATTCACAAAAGGGGACAAGAACATTGACCGGCTGAGCAATCATGTCTCCTACTAAAGAGTGATCTGAAAAACTGAGCCTGGAAAATCGGGAACTGGCAAATGAAATCCACTAATGAATATTCATAAAAGGAAACAGTAGCTGTTTGATGGCCATGTTCAGACTTGTGAGGGGTTTGCAGCCAGCAGGTGATTAGATCTGCTGTGTACATACAAGACAGGTGAAGACCAAACAGGAAGTCATAGGGCAAGGGTGCTCCTGGAGGACAAGAGAGCCACCAGAGCCGACGGTGTCTGGGGAAGCAGGGAGGGGCCCCGCCTGGGGGAGTCCATGCCAGGAAAGCCGCTCCAGTAGGAGCAGGGCCCACGTAACACCCCGAGCACATGCTCGTCCCAGGGAGGCCCCACAGGAGCCAAGGCACTCGGCTCCCTGCAGGCTCCACCTCTCTCCCTCACTGCTCCCCAAGCTGGCATCCCCCAGAACTATCAGCAGAGAAGAGGTGCCCAAACACGTGGGAGACGGGTCCTCTACCCCCACTCTGGGCAGCTGCGAGACGCCAGCACGCCACGGGCTGAAAGGCCCGGCATGAGAGCACCCACCTGCAGGGAGCACCGCAGGGAGCACCGCAGGGACAGGCCTCCCAGGTGTGAGAAGCACCCCCTCGGCAGCGCCGCGCGCCCGGCACCAACCAGAGCCTGCCAGCTCGACCAGGAGCCGCCACAGCCCGGACGTGAGCCGCAGCCATTACTGGCTCAGTGGGAACCTCCATAGGTTTCTCCCAGCCATTACTGGCTCAGTGGGAACCTCCATAGGTTTCTCCCTGCGGTTCTCTCAACCCTCAGGGCAGACAGCTTTCACACAGCTTGACTGAAAGTCCCAAGTCTCTAATCTGGGCTGAGTAAAGGCCACACTGGAGGGCAGAGGAGGAGCAGGGTTTGCATTTAGGGCAAAGGCTCACAAACCATCCAACTTGCTCCCAGCATCTCCGCTTGCTGGCCTCGTAGGTGAGCACAGCGTCCCACAGGTCAATGTCTGGCGTCATGCCCGGCTCAGACTGGGAGTCAGGAGTCAGATTGGATGCTGACTGGAACCCTTCATCTTCCGACTGATCCACGCTTGGAGGGACCTGGAGGCCGTGAGAAAAGGACTTCACCTGCGGCATGGTGTCTGGATTCCACCCCTGTGTGAGGAGAGTTCCAGGAACCCTTCCACACGCTCCCGTTCACTCTATGGGAAAGACCTGGAAGAACATTTCTTCTCTTTTTCTCAAGGACACAAGTTACTACACCATGTTTTTGCCCCCAGTGAGTCATTTAAGAAATTAAATTTATTCATTATCAATTTCCAATTTCACACAACACAAGCTTATTGAGGCTTATGAGCCTCAAAATAATTTACAATGACATTTTCCGTAACATGTCTCTGATCTGGAAATTCCATTTTAAGGAACCCAGCATAAAAAAAAATATCACACAGAAAAATCCACTTCTCCCAAAGTGTTTGCTATAGCATTATGGTTGGAAACAATGCAAATCCACTATAGGAACAACTGAACAATAACACCACATCCTTTCAGCAAAGCTATAAAATGCAAAGGCAAACGATGATTAATAAGGTCTGAAAAATCCCACTTCATCCAGAAAAAAGCATATAACACTGCACAGATAGCCAGGAGACATGATTTTTGGCACCTATGGCTACTGAGTACTTGAGTACACAGGGAGGAATCAGACTTACTTCATTTTGCATGCCATGCTGTAGAACCGGCCTGACAGTGCAGGAGACGTAAGCTATGAGGGTTCGATCCCTAGGTCGGGAGGATTCCCTGGAGAAGGGAATGGCTACCCACTCCAGTATTCTTGCCTGGAGAATTCCATGGACAGGGGAGCCAGGTCAGCTACAGTCCAAAGGGGTTGGAAAGAATCGCACAGGACTGAAGTGACTTAGCTGGAATGCTGTGCTCAGCCGCCTCTGACTCTTTGCAACCCCAAGGGCTGTAGCCCTCCTCTGTGGACAGAATTCTCCACACAAGAATACTGGAGTGGGATACTTCTCCCAGGGGGGGGATCTTCTGACACAGGGATTGGAACCGAGTCTCCTGCACTGCAGGTGGATTCTCTACCCTCTGAGCCACCAGGCAATTTAAACATCAACTGGAAGGCAACAGAAATGACTGAATGGCAGAGAAAAGAAGACAGTGGCATGAGACTCGCGCCTGCCGGGAGGGGGCCGCTGGGAGTCCGCACCAGCAGCCCCACCCCACAGCTCAAGCGCCAGTGCTGGACTCCGGCTGTCCTCCCTTTGCCCCACTGGAAGGAGGGTCAAACGAGGCGCTTCCCAAGCCCGAGGAGCCGGAGACAGGAAGCAAACACTCTACCTTGATGGCCAGTCCGGAGAGGTCTGCGCTGTCGGGCACCGGGGGCAGGTCCAGGCGGACGTCCAAGTCGGCCGTGCGGCTGTGCACCAGGGCTCCGAAGAGCGAGACGCGGGTGTCCCTTTCAAACCTGCCCTCGCAGGGGTCGCCGTACGAGAAGAGCCCGACTGCGGGCAGTCCGGTGCCCGGTGCCGCCTCCATCACCTGCCGCGTCTCGCGGACCAGGTCTCGACACAGAGACTCCTCTCCGGAGATGATCGACCGCACGTCCGCCTCCAACTCACTCAAGTCGGCGCAGTCGTAGCCGCCGTAGGGAAGGGCTCTCCCGACAGGCCGGCTGTGCAGGAAGACGCCCCGCCGGCGCCGCCGCACTCGCGGGGGCCCGCTGCCCGCCAGCCGCACCAGCAACTCCAGGACCGCGCCCAGCTCCGCCAGCGGCTGGCGCGGCGCGGCCTCCAGCCCCTCCACCAGCTCCTCCAGGCGGTCTGCCTCGGCGCCCAGGCCGCCCACTCGCAGGTCGAAGGACAGCATGAGGATCCTGTTCTTCACCGGCAGCCTCGGGAGGCCGGGCTGCAACCCGCGGCCCTCCTCCTGAAAGAGGCCCGTGAACAGGGCGTCGTAGGCCACCCTCTTGAGGCCCCGCTTGGCCTTCTTGCGGCTCCCGCGGCGCGGGCCCGAGGGAGCCTTGACTGCCGGCAGGAGGACCTCACACAGGTCGTCCACCAGCTGCGGGACGCTGGCCATGCCTCCACCTCACGCCGGGGCCGCGCGCGCAGCCGGACTCGCCTTCTCAGGACCCCGGAAAAGCGACGAACCACAGAGGTGCCGCCGAGGACGGAGCCTGGTCCCCTCAGCCGGAGGAAGGCGCGCGCGGCCTGACCCGCCTTCTCAGGGTCCCCTCAGCCCTAGGAGGCGCGCGCGGCGCCGCCATCGCGTCACCGCCGCGCGACCAGCCCGACCGCAAGCGCGAGCGCGCCGGAACTGCGTCACCCGGGAGCGAGCGGCCCACGCGCAAGGGGCAGAGCCTGGAGGCCGCGTCCACCGGCACTTCCGGCCTGGGTCCTCATTCCCGCCGGTGGGGGAACTCAGCCAGAACCGGACGAGTCAACTAAACGGGGATCAATAAAGAGGCGGAGTCGGACTTTGGCTTAACCTACTTTTACTGACGGCTGGGAGAAGGGAGCCGGGGAGGGGCGGTCCGTGTAGAGGCTGGCGCCGGAGCGGGGGTCCCGGCGGTAGAGCCCCTGAGCCCGCGTCCTGGGCAGGCCTACAGCCTGGCTCTTAGGTCAGAAGCCTCGCGCAGAGACGTGCTGGCGCAGTTAACAACAGGCTCCCGGGAGACTGGTGCGTAGTGTCGTTTCCACGGTGTAGATACTCTCACCCTGGCCGACTTCAAGCTGCCAGGTCACAGCACTCAAGGAGGCGCTGAGAAGCGGGGCACAACTGCTTGACAGGGCCATGAGCTGGTTCAGGGCAGCACCCCGCTCCCCGGGATGTGAGCCTTCTCCCCACAGAGCCCTAAGGCAGATGTCGCCCACGGCCCCACGCATTCAGCCTAAGCCTGGCCCCGCAGCCTCACCAGCCACCTGCAGCATCTTCCACCTTGGCTCCAGCCGTGGTCTCAGGTACATCAGGGCCTGCGCGTCCTCTGGGGTGGCCATGGAGAAGGGGCCCAGGCTAGGGGGTGCCTCCCCATTCAGCACGCTGGCCAGGACTGTCGCAAGCTGGGGTGTGGATTCCTGGGCCAGCAGCAGAGGTGGAAGCAGGGAGTCACTGATTTCTCCCCACCTCCCATCCCACAGCAGGTCCACCCCACCCAACTCACCTCATCCACAAGGGCCAAGACTCGGCCGCCTGCCGGTCCCCGAAGTAGTGCAGCCAGGAGTGCAGCTTGGGGGTCCCGCAGGCCATGGGCCGGCCCCAGCGCCACCAGCACCAGGTCAGGCTGGAAGCTGTAGGCCAGGGGCAGCACCAGGGCCAGGGCAAAGCTCAGGAACCCACCAGTCGTCTATGGGAGTGACAGCAGCATAGCCCGGCCCATCATCCAGGAAACTCTGGCCAGCTCGGGTCACCCCACCTCGCAATCTTGGGTGGGCAGACACACACCCCCCAGTCCCGCCAGCAAGGGCACGTAAAGGCCAGGAGTCTGGCCCTCATGCCAGTGCCAGTGGGCACAGCTGTCCTGCCCTGTGACTCCCCACTCACCACTGGCAGTGGCACAGAGACGTGGAACGTGGACGGGGCAGTTGCCTCCTTGCCCCCAATGTTCAGCCATAGATTCCTCCTTCCAGGGGAGAGCAAGCATATGGATACATGTGCTTGTGCGTGAGATGCCGCCCACTCTCCAGAGCCCAGACAGATGAGGGACAGCTCAGGGGCAGAGATGCTAGGACTGCTGACCCTCCATGCTGGAGACCCTCCTGGCATTGCTCCCATGGGGCCCTTCTGGAATTCCAGCTGCAGAAGGCCCCGCCCACCTGTCACCCAGGAATCCAGGGTGATGCGTTCATCCCGCCCTACTTGTGAAACTGGACCTACACATGACCCAAGATCATACCCATCATCGGTGAGATCTGGGGGCCGATCCAGCTGTCCCACGGCCACACACAGCAGCCTGGAGGAAGAGTTGGCTCCTGGATGAGCTGCAGCCCACCTGGAGCCCATTCCCAGAGCCCTTCCCACACGGCCAGCCCATGAGCCCTGCCTGGGAGCCTCAGACCAGCCAGGAGAGGCTTACCTCTGGGCTCCGTGGGACAGGCCATACCGAACGGCCACGTCCAGGGTGGCAGCTGCTGCAGAGGCTAGGGTGGCTGCCACGCCGCTGCTCACCTGTGGGGTGGGTAACAGGTGTAAAGGGCAACTCCCAAGCTGGGGAAACATACCCATCTGTCTTGTCTTTGCCCCTGGCTACAGGGTATCATCTGTGCAATCTCAAGGTCAAATTGCTTCAACTGCTTCACTCCTGAAAACAAGACGCTTAAAACTACAAGTCATTCCCTTCACCTCTCTGCCAAGAGAATTTCCTTGAGGGAACTGAGGGGGTGCTCCTGAACTCCAACCCTGGGGCCTGTCCTGGGAAGGAGCCTGGGTACAAAGCAACACTCACATCCACACGGTTCTGTACCACCCAGCGCTGCCCTGACTCCCGGTTGCCCCCACCTGCCCATCCAGTATCCTGTCCAAGAGGTACAGGACCTTCCCGAGTGCAGTGAGGGCCTCGTCCTGGGCCAGGGCCTCACGTGGCCTGTGGTGGACAAACCAGGGGGACACAAGGACACGGCGTGACACACAGACCACAGCTGAGTCCCACAGACATGTGCAGCCACGGCCCGGTCCTTCCCCCCAGGCCCGCCCTGCCCACCTGGCCCAGGCCTGCGTCTCCTCCCGCGGCAGTGACCCCTCCTCACAGAGGACACCCGGGGGCAGGGCCCGGCCAGTGTCTGGCACAGTCAGGGCAACAGCCACGCGGACAGGGGGTGTGGGGTGGAGGTGCAGCTGGTCCAGGAGTAAGCTCAGAGCATCAGCGGCCTGAGTCACTGCTGCCTTGAATTTGGGCTCCCCCGGTGGCAGCGGTGAGGGCCTCCCCTCTGGGCAGGGGGTGCCGGGGCTCAGTACAGGGGCGGCACCTAGGGGTACAGGGTGGTTCAGAGTAACAGCCACCGACCGGAGCCTGAGGCGCCATCCCACCTGCCGACCCAAGTCAGGCTGACCTTGCTGCTGGAGGCTCACCCAGTGAGGGGCCTGGGCTGCCCGCACACGCTGGAGGGACTCCAGGGCGCTGCGAGGAGAAGCAGGATCAGGAGGCCCGGCCTCCCGCCCCGGCCCTTCCCACCCTCCTTCCTCTCGGCCCCGCACCTGCCATGGGGCTCCATGGGCCCTGACAAGGGCAGGGCAGGGTCGCCCAGCAGCGCTCGCACCGTCATGCACACGGACTGGGAGAGGGACTCCAGGTGGTAACCACCCTGGGAGGAGGAGGAAACAGAGACATGACAGGCAGGGCGGTCAGGGCCCCAGGCGGGACGCCCTGCTCCGCACAGCAGCAACCTCCGCCAGTACCCCGGCCTCTGCCCAGGCGCCCTCCCCCTCGCTGTGGTCACCTCCAGCACGGCGCAGACCCGGCCGCCAGCCAGCACCTGCAGCAGCTGTGTGAGGTGGGCGAAGCACTCCGGCGTGGCCAGCATCTGCCCCTGCAGCCAGAGTCAGGCGTGAGGAGGGCCTGGCCTGGGGCCCCAGAAGCCCTCCAAAGCCAGGCCAGGCCCTCACCTCTGGATCGCCGATGGCTGAGTCGAATCCTGCAGAGACTAGGACCAGTTCAGGGTCGAACTGCAGGCAGGGTCCGGTGGGAAGAGACAGAAAAGAAGCTGGAGCAGAGGCAGAGGGGAGGCCCCTCCAGAAAGACCCTCCTAACCCCCAAAAGTCCTGTTCCACTCTGGTGGGGAAAGGGGAGCCTCTGGGCACCAAATACCCCTCCACTCCCTCCAGAGTCACCTCAAAGGCCAGGGGCAGCAGCACGTGCAGGAAGGCGGCCACATAATCAGCATTTCCCATCCCGACCTGCAGTCAAGAGACGTCAGAGCAGTCCTGCCAGGAAGCACTGCAGGGTCTTCAACCCCAGGCCCGGCTTCTGGGGGTGGTTCTGGCTGGACACCCTGGGCTACACACGGCTTAGGGGGAAACGTAGGCTGGGTGAGGGGGGCGGTGGCCAGTACCTGGTTCCAGGGCAGGTTAACAGTGAAGCCAAGGCCCCGCCCCCGTCCGACAACATCGGCGTCTGACTCCCGCAGATGCGGCCAGAAGTGTCCATGCTCGTAGCGGTGCCAGGAGAAGTAAAGGACGCTGCAACAGCCAGCCGGGGTCAGAGGTCAGAGGTCAGGCCCCCTCAGCCTCAGGGCTCCTGGCAGAACCCTGACCCCCGCCCGCAGCCGCTGAGCACACAGCTGTATCTCCCCTCTCAGGCCAGGCTCAGCCTGAAAAGTGGGGTGTCAGGGAGCCCCCCGCTTACCTGGGGTCATCCTCGAAGATATACTGGATGCCCTGACCATGATGGACATCCCAGTCAACGATGAGGACCCTGGGACAGACAGTTCTGGGGTAATAAGGGTCTGGGCCTCCCACTCCTGGCTAGGAGCCAGGCCCAGGATGGGAAGAGGTACCTCCGTCCCCGCTTCGCGTCTGGCCTGGGCCTTACCCTGCAGCCGGACTGACACAAACCTGCACAACCTGTGCTGCTGCTGGGCGTGTTTGGCTGCTATGGCCACGTTGTTGAACATGCAGAATCCGTTGGCAGTAGCCCTCTGGCTGTGGTGTCCAGGAGGCCTGGGGGTGAGCCTGGGGCAGGTCAGGGTCACTGTGCCTTCACAGGGCCCCCCGCAGGTCAGGGGGGTGCCGCGCTCACCTCACCAGGGCGAGCCCGTTGCGCACAGCTCCCGTCAGCACCGCGTCCACCAGCTGCAGCGCAGCCCCCGCGGCCAGCCGGGCACAGTGGAAGGTACTCTGCAGGGGAGAGGTCCAGGTCAGCCCCCGGCCCCCCACTCCTCACAGGCTCGACCAAGGCCTGTGCCAGGTTACAGGGCACCATTCCCGGGTACCTGCAGTGGCAGCCAACAGGACCCAGTACACGGGAGTGCTGGCCATGAACAGGCACAAGTACCGGATGTGTGACTGGTTGGGGCGGGTTAGCCAGGGCACGCACCGGATGGAGGTAGACGGCATCGTACTGCTTGGACAGGGCCTGGAGCTCCCCGGTGCCCAAGGCCTGGGTCCCCCGCAACAGCGCCACATACTCGGGGCTGCAAAGAGGCAGGCAGGCAAGGCAGGGTCACCAAGAGGAGCAGGTAGAGGAGAGAGGGACTGCCTGCCTCATTGCTCCCTCGCCTACCCCCACAACGCGGAAACTGAGCCTTGCGGGGAGGCTCTATGTGCCGGAACAGCAGGCTGGGGCAGCCCCAGCCTTCCAGGGCCGTGGCCTGCCCCCCATCTGACCTGTGCACCAGGCCCAGCTCCGCCTCCGAGGCCTCGCGGGCTGCCAGCCGCAGACACCTTTGCTCCAGACCTTGCTGCTGCAGGCGCTCCAAGGCAGTGGTCAGGCGCTCAGGACATTCGATCTCACACTCAGGGCTGAGTGGACAGAGAGCTCAGCGTCCAGAGCCTCTGTCTTCATCCCCTGCCTCTCCCTCTGCCAGGCCCCACTTACTCGTCCCAGAGCAGCCGGGCGGCTGTCATGTCCTCGTGGTACACAAGTGCAGTCCCCATGGCCCGCCCGGGGTCACTGTGGGCCACTCAGGGTGGGCAGGACCCAAGGATCCCACTCACAGGCAGGTCAGTGCGCCACCCGCCCCTCGTGGCAACCCCAGGGAGCAGCCAGGGGAGCCACCGGGGCCTGGGCGGGATCTCAGGAAGCCCAGACGGGGAGGCCCCAGGCCCAGCTGGCGACACAGCCAGGCCGGGGTCGCCCGAGTAGCTCCAGAGCCCTGGCTTCCGTCTCGTCCCACGCGGGGCTGCCTTGCGTCCACCTCCGGCTGCCCCAGTCCCCGCCCCGACGCAGCAGAGCGGGCCCAGGCCTGAGCCCCTCCGGCTCCGCGCGCCTCCCTTCCCGCCGGCGGTGGCTCCCCCTCCCCCTCCCCCGGCGCCAAGGGCGGGCTCTCGGCCTCGCGCCCATGCGGAAGTCGGAGCGGCCGGGTGCGGAGCCAGACGGCGAGAGTGCCCAAGCTCCGCGGGCTGTCGCGGCGGCGCCACGCGAGTCTGCGCCCCTCGCCCCGGGCCTCCTCCAGGCCCGCCCAGACCCCGCGCCGCGGCTCAGACACAGCGGTTGCCCACCGCCGCCCCGCGCTGCCCGAGGCCCGGCTGCGAGGGCGCAGGGAAAAGGGAAGGAGCGCGGGGACGAGCGTCCGCGGGAGCGAAGCGATGAGGAGCATCGCCCTGGGAAGGGGGCCAGGACTCAGGCCGGCCGCGGCTGCATCGCAGAGTTGCCCCCCAGGCGCAAGAAGTGTCCGATTGAAGCTCCGGGAAGACCCCCGGCCGGAAAGCGGGGGACTCGGGGGCTCAGGACTGTGGCTGAGAGGCCGGACAGGCGCCGCACCGCGTGGGGAAAGCGAGGGAGGGGACCAACAGAGGGGTGTCTCCCAGCTTCAAACCGAGAGTTTCGGGGGACTGAGCCCGTAGGGGCGGGCTGTGGGCCGGGCCTGGAGGGCAGACTTTCTGAGGCGGTCTCGGGTGGGGGCGAGATGGCTGGGCCTGCGAGGGCTGGTCTCCGCGGCGGGAGATCTGGAGGCGGGGCAGCGACCCGGGGCAGGCGTGCTCCCGTCCTCGGTTGCCCCAGCCGTACGGGGACGACCCCCACGGCGGGGCAGCTGTAGAGGGAGGCCCTGGCATTGCCCCGCGGCCCGCAGCCTGCTCGAAACGCCCTCGTCCCGGCCGGGGTGCCTGCCGCGTGGGCCCCTGGCCGCCGCCGGGCTGGGGAAGGCGTGCCCGCCCCGGAGCCAATCAGAGCAGCTCGGAAGCCGCGAGCCGACAGGCGGTCCCGCGCACGTGGTCGCCGAGGCGTGGCCCGCGGCCGCCCGCCCCGCGGAGATGGCTGAACGCTTGCGTCACAGGCGCGGGCTGCCTGGGCGGACGGCGGTATCCACTGTGGTCACTTGTCTTGACCGTATATTTGGCTGAACCAGCTGTGCGCGCGGCCGGGAGAAGGAAGACGGGCGGATCCCGCCTTGCGCGCACCTCCGGAGAGAAACAGTCGGGAGGAGCCCCAGGGGGGCCCCTGGCCCATCAGCGAGTCTGCAACGACCAGCAGAGGGCTCCGCGGGCTCACCCGCGGCGGCAGGGGATGGCCGGGCCTGCGACCGGAAGAGGAGCACAGAAGCCACCTTCTGCTAAAGCTCGGGCGTCTCAGACGCCCCTGAGAAGCCGCGAGTGTCTTGCATGACCCTCCCGCCCACGAACCTGGCCTTGGAGAGTGCGGGAACCCCAGATACCGGGGACTGACACCCGAGTTGGACCTTGACCCCCTCACCCTTGTCAGGCCCTGCCCTGCATCTGGCTCCAGGGTCTAAGCTTAGAGGAAGGAAATGGCAACCCACTCCAGTGTTCTTGCCTGGAGAATCCCATGGACAGAGGAGCCTGGCAGGCTACAGTCCATGGGGTTGCAAGGAGTCAGACAGGACTGAGCAACTGACTACACAGCCACCACCGCTCAAGAAGGACGGGTCCAAACCCTACCTCGGGGGCTCCAGGCCTGAGGCTCCCTGAAACAGGTTGGGGGGTCAGCTTTGTGGCCGGGGAGGGAAGGGTTGCCCAGGCCCAGTGGCTCAGAGTGAGGAGAAACTCCCAGACCAGCCTCCTTACTCCAAAGAAAAACCTAAAGGTGGAGCTCCAGCCCAGGAATGAGGAAGTGAAGCAGAGTGGGACCTACAAAAGGGTTTATTTCCTCCAGCCGAGGGGCCACACCATGTGACCAATGTACATTCCAGGCTGGGGGTGAAGAAGCGTCCACACAACACACTCAGGAGACGCATCCCGGAGTCGGCATCCTGTCCTTCCTTCTCAGCACAGTTCAGAGAAGGCAGGGTCAGAGGCCAGGACTTGACCCCAAGTCCTGTCCCACCCCACTGGCTCTGAAGCTTCTGGTGCGTCCTGGGGACGGGGACCGCTGCTGGCAGGGTCAGAGCCCAGCCCCAGGTCAGGTGGGCATCCTGTCCAGAAAGTCCAGATGCTCCTCCAAGGATAGGCTGAGATGGGGTCTGCGAGCAGAGGAACAGGCTTCCAAGAGAGATTCCGTGGAGCACAGGGACTCCCGAGACTCCAGCCTCAGCCAAGGTCACAGTGGCAGACGGGGTCTCCCGTCCAGGTGGAGCCCCAGCCAGGGCCCAGGCGTCTTCACAAGGCTGTCTCCTTGGAGACCTTGGCCCCCAGCTGCCGGGGAGGCTTGAAGCTGAGCACCTCTTTATATGTGACACCTGGGGTCAGAAGGACAGAGTCACAGGAGAAGGAGCCCACCACCCATCAGACAGCTCCACAGTGCATACCAAGCATCGACACCAGTGACCCAGACCAAGTGCTCACCCAGACCAGTGATAGCTTCTGAGATTCCACTCGGGGTGGGGATGGGGAAAACGCCCGGGCCCAGAGCACAGGTCACTGACCTCGGGGCTCACTGCCCCCCTAAATTACAGTCAGAGATCACTGCCAGGGCTTAGGCACCAAGGGAGCTCCTTTGTCCCACATGTGCGAATCCACCCACATCCATCCCCAGGGACTGTCCACCCTGACAGGACTCCTGTAGCCCACACACGCGGCCCCCAGAGTGGCTCTGGCCCCACAGCCTGCCTCTGAGCAGAGGATGTTGCAGGCACATAAACCAATGTGTTCACTCAAGTGGAGCTAGGGTCCCACCAGGGCATTCCAGCTTCTGAGCCCAGAACGTCTATGAAGCCTCAAACAAGAGGGAAATTCCCACTGACCACCTGCATCTCGGGCTTCCTCACCAGTCCCCATGTTCCCTGCACCACGCCCAGAGCGGGCGGTCCCTGGGGAGGGGGCGCTGCTCCACCTCTCCCAGCGTGCCCACACTCACCAGGCCGGCAGAGTGCCCATCTGGGGGACCACTAGCCCCGTTCAGAGGACCATGCCTCAACAGCATGTGGTCTGTGTGGCTTGCCCAGTGAGCGGCACAGTTGTGTTCCCACCTGTGGGGTGCCTCCCAGGCCGTCCGTCTGACCCTCACGAAGGGAGGGGCCAGGCCACATGGGGAAGGTCCATGTGAAGCCCTCGCTGGAAGGCTGGCCTTTCCCAGGGAGACAGGAAGTAATGAGCTTAAATACCTCACGGGGGTTTAACCGCAAACAAGCCGGGGGTTTAACCGCAAACATGGTCTGTAGTAAAAGCAAAAGTTCTTACTACAGTTTGGGGTGGGAACCACAGACAGGATCCTATGGCCTGCGGTTTTGGGTTTTCTGGTCTTTTTTTAGCAACAGAAAACTTATAAGCACAAAACCCAGCACAGAGAAAGGTGCAGCCCCCGCCGGCAGCACAGAGAACCCAGGGACTCGAAGGAGCTCGGTGTGAGCAGCGCAGCCGTCCGGCCCCGCCCCACCCTCCGCGTCCAGGACCACAGCGCGGCCTGAGGCTCAGCCGGGATGGGGTCTCGGACAGCGGCCACCAGGCCCGCAGCTCCAGCGGCCCTGTGCTGCCCTCAGCTGGGTCCCCACTCCCTCTAGGGGCCTGAAGCCACGGAGAGACCACGTGCTGGACAAGGCCTGATCCAGCGTGGGGCGTCAGGGACCTGGCGGTGGGGGGGCGGGCCAGGGACCACACAGGTGACCCTGAGCCCAGCCTCAGGCTGAGCAGCCCTCAGAGACCAGCAGGGCCCTCGGTCTAGGGACAGCCAAAGCAAAGCCTGGTGGCGCAGAGCATGGATGGGGGTGCTCAGTGGGCTGGAGGGGATGGGCAAGGGGTGCTGAGGAAGGTGGAGGGCAGACAGGCTGCCTGGTGCGGTCCTGACCCTCCCGGCAGGACAAGGGTGCTGTGTGACTGTGTGGTAGGAACGGTCTTGAAAGGGGAAGGAGATCCAAGAAGTATGAGCAGAGGCCTGGGGAGGGGTTCCGAGGGGCTCCGGGGCAGCCCGGGCCCTGGCCTAGACGTGCACGGGCACGCTGGCTGCTCCGGGCGCCAGGAGAGACCCAGTGCCTGGGTGTGCCCTCTGACCTCCTGCTGCGTTCCTCGCTGAAGCTGCATCCCGGGGAGGGGGGCCCGGGCCCCTGAGCCCCGCCACCCGCACGGGGCCGCCCAGGCCCCCACTCACGCTTCCACTCGTCCAGCGTGCGGTCCACGTCGTCAAAGGACTCGTCGTATTTCTGGGCCTGGGGCTCGTCCTCCATGTCGTGCAGAGACTCGAAGTAGGGGTGGGCCAGCGCCTCGGCCGCCGTCACCCGCCGCTCCGCATCCAGCACCAGCATCTTCTCCAGGAGGCTCACGGCTGCAGGAAGGACAGGTCAGGCAGACCGAGGTCAGCATCCTAGGGCCCGGACCCACACCCACCCCAGTGCCACCTACCCAGGGGGCTCGCGTTGGTCAGGACGGAGGCAAAATCCTTCTTCTCCAGCTCAGGGAGGCCCTTCATGTAGTTCTTGGCCTGCGCGGGAGCAGACCGTGAGAAGCCAGTCCCAGGCCTGTCCCCAGCCGCCACCCGGCTCCCAGCTGACCTCATCACTTTGCAGCCTCTGCACAAACTCCGCGGGAGGCGTCCCCGTCACCTTCATGATCTCCTTCAGCTGGTCCAGGTCTTGGCCAAGGTCAGGAACACAGAGCGGGCCAGAGACAGGGCTCACCCACCCACCTGCTCCTGGCAGGTGTCCCCTCAGGTGCAGGGTAAGCCCCCCCAAACCCAGCCCCAGGTGCAGGGTAAGCCCCAGCCTGGCCCTCGGTATAGGATACGGTCGTTGCCTTTGAAGAGCGTCTTCCCCGTGATCATCTCGGCCATGATGCAGCCCACGGACCAGATGTCCACTGAGACAGAAGCCCCTGCGTCAGGGCTCTGCGGGCTGGGGAGGGGGGCACACACAGACTGGGGAGGCGGAGACACAGACGGGGGTGGGGGCGGTGGAGGGGTCATGGGCGCCAGAGCCATCTGGCCTGCCACCCCCCCCCCCGCCCCCCCCCCCNCCCCCCCCCCCCCCGCCCAGCCCCCCACCTAGCTTGGAGCCTCCCCACGAAGCAGCTGCCACGGACCCCCGTGGAGCAGGGCGCAGGTGGGCAGCTCCTCACCCGTCTGCGTGTAGTGCATCCAGTTCAAGATGACTTCGGGTGCCCGGTACCACCGGGTCACCACGTACCCGGTCATCTCGCTGTCTGCCTGCCGGGCCAGGCCGAAGTCCAGGATCTATAGCCAGAGTCAGAGGAAGTGGGGGACAAAGTGGACCCTGGGGAGTGGGCGGGCTGACTGTGGTCCACAAGACCCCAAGGGGCCCGGGCACACCGGGGCCTCGGGACAACTCCCTGGGGATGAGGTCTTGGCCACGTGCCCTTAACCCTGTCTCCAGGGCCCCCTGACAGAGAGGGCCCCGGGCCCAACAGGCCATGCCTGCCCCCAACCCTCAGAAATAGGCCCCCGGGGGTCTCCTCCCCACACCCCGCCCCTGCAGACGCCCAGCCCCGGCCAGTGCCTCTGTGCAGTCCCCCTCCGCCCCACTTCTCCTCAAGCAGGTACGGGCATGTGCCACAGGTCACCTGCCAAGTGCCGCCCTAGGACCCCGGCCACGGCCCAGATGGTTGGGGTCTGGTCCGTCCGCATGGGCCTGGGCCAGCCCACCTCCGGGCCTGAGAGCAGGGGCCCAGCGGGCAGACAGGCGGGTGTGGGGGAGGGCCGAGCACCCAGCCCCACACAAACCTTCAGCTCACAGTCCTCGTTCACCGCCAGGTTGCCAGGCTTCAGGTCCTGGGGACGAGGCATGGTGTTGGTGCAGTGCCACCCAGCAGGCCCAAAGCCAGGGCCCGAGCAGCGCCTGAACGTGGGAGCACGGCCGGCCTCCTCGCAGCCCTTCCAGGAAGGGTGGGGTACCCGCCCCGGGCGGTGTGCAGGGGGTGTGCCCCGTCAGGGGTGGGCGGCTCTGGGACGAAGCCCCTTACACCCACAGCCAGGAGAGGCCCCCCCCCCCCCCGGGCCAGGACTCACCCTGTGGATGACGCCAGCAGCGTGGATGTACTGTGGGGACAGAAGGTGGTCAGCGACCGTCAGCTCACAGGAACCCGCATCCCGGCCATGCCCAGGGCCCCTCCCAGCCCAGCAGGCGCCCCCTGCCATCCCGTGTCCCCACCTTCAGCCCCTTAAGCATCTGGTAGACAAGGAACTGCACTCGGTCCTCACTCAGCTTCTCATGCTTCATGAGCTTTCCCAAGTCGGTGCCCATGAACGGCATCACCAGGTAGCTGCAGGGCATTTCAGAGTACAGACAGTCAGGGTCGCATGGGACCCCATCACACTGCGGCACGTGGTCTCCGCCTCCCACGGCGCTGCCCCAGGCCCCACCCTGTGGGCCCCGCGAGGCCAGGCAGCTAAGAACTGTGCTTTGGAGTTTCTGAAGGTTGACCAGGGAGACCGAGGTTTGAGGCAGGGGAAGGGGCAAAAGAAAGGAGAGAGGTGGTTCTGGACAGGGGTGAATGCAGGGCATCCGCATCGGGGGGGCAAGCTGGATGGGGTGGGGAGACAGGGAGACAGCCTGAGCACCCCACCAGGACGCTGGGCCAGTGTGTGTGTGTCCTTGACCTCCGCGAGGCTGGGCGGTGAGGAGCCCGTCTCCCCCGCCCTTGCCAGGCCAGGCCCAGGCTCCTAGCCGAGGGGAGCGTGGGTCCAGGGGTAGCCACCCCGGCAGTCGCAGGGCGGGCGTCACAGAACAGTCAGCACTGGGCCCCCTGCGCCCCTCCCCTCCCGCCGGCAAAGGTCAGCAGCTCCAGTTACAGGCACAGCCTCAGGGCCAGCACGGAGCACGGGACCGCTGACAACCCTCGGGGCCAAGACTCACAGCTCTGGCACTGCAGGAGGGGGCCCAGGTCCACCCTGTGGCAACAGGAGCATGTGGCAGGGGGCAGTGGGGGGCGGGTGTGCCCCAACCCCTGGCCAGGCTGTGAGGCGAGACCCGCCTCAAGGGGCTCCCTGCCAACCCCAAAGCTGAAGTTGACACCCAGGAGCCACCCAACACCAACTCCCTACCCGGCCAACCCCGGGCTGGCACTCACAAGTCTGTGAAGTCATCCAGTGTCTCGTCAGGCGTGAACACATCCAGCAGCCCAATCACCTGGGGAGGAGGCCAAGCGCCGGGTGGGCGGGGGCTCGGGCACCCACTGTTCTCAGCAGGCGAGCCCCCTGCAACTGCCCATGGGCCCGGCTCTGCCCACTGGCAGCTCTACCTTGCCCTGGCACACGTGCCCACAGACAAAGGCTATTTCTGGATGGAGACTGCGGGCATCCTCTGGGGGAGGGGCAGCCTCAAGTCCAGGGCAGCCCCCAGCCATCCAAGGAGCTCAACCCTTGGCCCGTCCTCACCCCACTTCCTGTCCCTGCTGAAGACCCAGGACCAGGGTGGGGGCAGCCAGCCCCTAGGAGGGACCACACCTCTGCCAAAGAGGTCCAGGCAGGCAGCACTAGGACCAAACCCACACCCCGCAGGCCTGTGCTTGGGGGGTGACAGCACACGGGCAGTCTGACAGCTGGCACCTGGGCCTCCAGGGACCCCGTGAAGCCTGCACATCCAAGCGGCTAGAGAGACAGGTGGGCGTGCTGGCAGAGGGCAGGCCTGGCAGAGACCACACGAATGGTGGCCGAGGCAGGAGACAAGAGAGCTCGGAGCACTTGAGGAACACGGGAGAGAGGCCAGGTGGCCAAGAACCAGGCCAGGGAGCCGCCAAGGAGAAGCCGAGGAGAGCGAACGGGCCCGCGACACCAGGTGAAGGCTGCCCTGATCCCAGGAGCCGCTGCGGGGGGGTTAGGCGGGCATGCTGCTGGGTGCAGCCCCGGCTGCGGTGCAGGCACAAAGTGGGCATGAGGCAGAGTGATGACTCGGTGACCACCACAGCCTCCAGGGCCAGACACGGGTGAGGGAGGCAGGGACACCAGAGAGGGGCCAGAGGCAGCAGAAGCCTCAGGAGGCGGTTTCAGCAAGGATCCCGGAGGTTCAGGGGAGGCGTGTCAGGTTGATGGAAACTTCCAGGCCTCTGCCTTGCACAAAGAGGCCGGTGCTGGGGGTGGGGGGCTGGGGTGCAGGGGCAGAGGTGGGCACAGAACGGGCAGGACTGGGTCACGCCTCAGCCTCTTGGAGAGCGTTTCCTCCCAGGAACCCAGGATCATGAAAGGCGGAGCCTCCCAGCTCAGGGGGGCAGCTGCTGTGGGTCAGGGGGCCTGTGGGAAGGCAGGAACCGGCGGCAGCGGGGAGGCCCGAGCAAGGAAGGACAGGACCGGGAGGCCACGGATCAGAAGCCCAGGGAGAGCGTGGACAGGCCAGGGCGAGGTGGGGGAGCACGAAATGGGAGGGAGAGGACCGCAGGAAGGCTCTGGCAGAGGGGTCAGTCCTTATGGGGACGAGTCCCACGTGTGAGCAGGTGTGCCTGCAGGTAGCAAAGCCGGGGCGGGGTGGGTGTCCACCACAAGGGGACTCCACCTGGGGATGGGAGTGCAGGACCCACCGAGGCGCTGAGCGGGTGGGCCCTGGAGCTGAGGGCAGTTTCCTGGTGGACACGGGGACCAGGAGGTGCCGGCCCACCATGACTGACCAGGGTCTGGGCACCCAGATTACCCTCAGACTGAGCAGGAGTGGCTTGCGGGAGGGGGAGCAGGTAGCTCTCAGGGTCACAGGAGGAACTGCATGGAGGAAGAGGGAAGGGCCCTCTGCAGTCCGCACTGTGCAGGGAGAGGCTTGGGGCACCACGGCCATCTCCTGTGGGCAGGTCGGGAGGCAGAGGAGACGCCTCCCTGGTGGGGGCCGGCCCTTCCTCACATTGTTGGGGAGGGCGTCACAGGAAGGGTCTGCATGCAGCTGGTGCCTAACATCCTCCACACACGGCTCGCTGGACCCCTTCACCATCAGAGATCCGGGGGCTCTGAGGAAGCTGACAGCTCGGGTTCCTCCGTGTTTCCAGCCATCCCAGTCCCAGGGCTGGGGCTCAGGAGGCGGGCTGGGGCTCAGGAGGCAGACTGGGGTCGGGAAAGGGGCTGGAGGAGCGGGCAGGGGGCAGCGGGCTGGCGTGGGGGGGAGGTCCCTTCCAGGAAAACCCCTCCTCCAGCCGAGGTCCCCAGGGCTCAAGTCAAAGTTTGGAGCGAGTAGGGCAGGAGCCCTATGGCCTGGGCCATCCCCAAGCAGGCCCCAGGCCCAAGAGCCAGAGGAGGCTGCGGGACGGGCCCAGGTGGAGCAGACGAGACCCGGGGAAGCCGCCCTCTCGACCCGCACGCTCCGGGACACGGTAGGACCCACGGACTCCGCCCCGCCACCCCAAGGATCAGCCCAGGGGTCTCCAGGGCAGGATCTGGGGCCGGCGGGGGATGAGCGGAGCGCGGCGGCCGCGGGTCCGGGCGGCGCGACTCACGTTCTCGTGGCGCATGTGCTTCAGCAGGCGAAGCTCGCGGTAGGCGCGCTTGGCGAACAGCTCGGACTGAAAGGGCCGGTACAGCTTCTTGATGGCCACCTTGGCGCCAGTGCGGCTGTCCACTGCCGAGCTGCGGGGCGCACAGCTCAGCGAGGGGCCGGGACACCCCACCCGCGGCCACCTGCGGCCTGCGACCCAGCCCGGCCTGCGCTCACCACACGGCACCATAGGCGCCCGAGCCCACGGGCTGCAGATCCTGGTACACGACGCGCACCTCCCAGGCCGTCTTGGTCACCTCCTGGCGATAAAAGCCCTTGCGGGCGGGCGACGGAGAGCTCATGGCTGGCCGGGCACCTCCCCCGCCGCCTCGAGGGCCGGGGTTCCTGCGCGCACCCCGGGCCACCGCCGCAGCCGCCGCCGGGGAACCCGGCTGCCGGCTGTCCCGTCCGGAGCTCCGACCCCGGCCCCCGCCTGGCCCGCGCGCGGCCCCTCCCCTGCGGGAGGACCAACCGGCCCCGGGGCCCGGGCGCACGTGACGCCCCCGCCCCCGCCCCCGCCGCCCCTCCGGAAACCTGAGGCGGCGCCGCCTGGGAGGCCGGAGGCGGGGGAAGGGAGCGCCGCGGCGCAGGGCAGCCCCCGCCCGGACTGGCCTGCCTCTGCGCTCCGCCCTCGGGCTGGACTCCGCGTGAGGCCCGAGGGGCTCCAGCCTCCTCCTTCCCGCCGCCCCAGGGGCGCTGGCCCATCCTGGCCGTCTGAGCTTGTCAGCTTCTACCCCCAGCCCCAAATCACCGTTCAGCAGTCCCGCCAACTCCCCCGCCCCCAACCAGAGAACTTCCACCCTGAGGCACCTGACCTGAGCACTGTAGGCCAACTACCCACCCCAGGATGCCCCTTCACCCTGCGCTGACCCTCCCACCCCCGGCTCTGTTCCACCCCCATCTTGCCTTTATCCCCCTTTCCCTGTGAAGAAGCGCATTCCCTCTCCCGAACTCAGAGTGCCTACCACGCTGGAGCAGAGAGGACGGTCCTGCAGGCCCCCCACCTGGGTGGGGACACTGCCCAGAGATGTGCACGCCACCCTTCAGGTCCCGCCCCTGTCCAGCCCAGGCCCTCAGGTTTACGCTTCAAAACACACCCAGAGCGGCTCATTCTCCCCAGGAAGGTACGTCCAACTCCCAAAGTGGAGGGGCGCCCACTTACCTTGAGATGGGAGCATTATCATTTCATGCGTCAGAGGTCCCTCCATGCCCTCCCCCAGCCCAGTGACCCAGGCCTGAGACACAGCAGGGTAACAAGATCCCCAGGGGCCCAGCCACCTTCCTGTGCCGTGGATCAGCAGCCCTGCAGCTCGCCGGCCAGGGCAGCTTTATACCTGCTCCAGCGCAGCGAGGCGGCACTCGGGAGGCTGCAGGCTAGGGTCCCTGGAGCCACAGTCATCTTTGCCCGTGCCCCTCATCCCCTGTGGTCCCCCACCTGCCTCCTCCAGGAAGCCCCTTTACTCTCTGCATTGAGGTGCAGGGCTCCAGAAGGGTTCTGTTGCTCCCGCCCCGCCCGGCCCCGCCCGGTTGCCAGGGGTCCTCCGGGACCTGAGGCCAAGCAGCCATGCTGACCAGGCCTCTCTGCAGGCGCAGCTCCCAGATGATCCCCACAACCCTCCCAAGGCCTGGGGCAAAGGCACAGAATGTCCCCATAATAAGGACACTTTGCCTGGTCCCCAGTGGGGCCTGGGCCTTCCCAGCCTGAGCTGCAGGGAGCATCAGGGGCTTGACTGGAAAGAAAGGAGAGCTTCTCCCTGGCCCTGGGGAAGGCAGGCCTTTGCTGCCCCACCCTGCCTCCTCCCTGACCAGAGTGAGGGGCAGGTCTGGATCTGGACCAGACGCTGCCCAGTGAACCTCTGAAGGAGTGGGCTGATTCTGGGCGGACAGCTGCTCTGTCCACCTCAGGCCCCGCTGGGGCGCGGGGGCTGCGGGGACACGGCCCTGCTGTACAGGCAGTGGGGCAGCAGGAACTGGAGCCTGAGACACGAGCCGAGTGGGGGGCAGGACCCCCTTTATTGCAGGACCCCCGTGCAGGCACTCGACACTCAGACCCCCCTGGTCCTGGAGGGTGGGAGGTCACCACCTGACAGAGAAGCCCCTCGATGGCGGGCCCACACCCCCAACACATCTGGAGGGTTCCTGTCCCAGAGTTTCTGGGTCCCCTCCGCTCTGGAAGGACGGAGGACAAGGGCGGACCCACAGATTCTAATCTGGTCCCTGCAGCAGGACCAGAGGGCGGGCAGAGGTGGGGCTGGCACAGGTCTCTCCATCCGCTTGGGGCCAGGATCCACATCCACACTGGTGGGCGCCTCCTCGAGGCCGGAGCCTCCCAGCCTGCCAGGCCCCCAGCGGGCCCGGAGCCCCGTGCCTCAGGAACCGGCTGCAGCTCCCATGTCCAAGGGGAGAGGGGATTTGCCCACAGGGATGCCCGTGGCCACCTGAGCCCCTTGCACGCCGCACAGCATGCTCTTAGCAAAGCCTCGCGCCCCACCCACATCAAGGACTGAAGGCAGGGGAGGCAACAGTACAGTCACCCGCACTTGGGCCTGCAGCCAGTCACACCGCAGGCTCCCAGGGGCCCTCAGACTCACACACGCCTGCGTCTGCTGGGATGTGTGGATTCCAGGACACATGCGGTGTGTACAGCACGGGTGGACACGTGGCTCCAGGCAGCCGCCCCACTCCGCCACCCCCACAGAAGACCCTTTGAGCCTCAGCACTTTTGAAGGGAACCCCTCACTTCCAGACTGAGCAGCTCTGACCATCAAGACTCTTCCTTTGTGCAGGGAGGCTCCCGCCCCAATGTACTTACCCCCCGCCCAGAGCCAGCCCTCTCGATCCAGGTCTGGAAACACACACACTGCCCAGGGAGAGGTCTGTTGGCACCCAGGTCCTCCCAAGGAGGCCCTAAAGGGGAGTTCAGGAGGGGGCAGGAGAACAAGGACGTGCAGGACACTGTGCCCAGACTCCCACGCCCGCGGCTCATGCCCGTGCAGGCATCCACACACATGCAGGTTCCCCAGAAGGCGCAGCGTAGGACGGGGGTCCCAGGCCAGGGCTGGGTGCCACTGGCTGTGGTGGCCTCAAGGCAGGCGCCCCCCATGGGCGTCTGGCAGGCCGGGGCTGGCGGCAGGTGCGCTCAGGCCCCTGCTTGAGTGCCAGCGGGGCGGCTGGCAGGTGGCATTTCATCACTGCGCAACGTCCAGGCTGCCCAGCGGCTGCGGGGGCTCTGGGGGCTTGAAGCTGAGGACTTCCTGGTAGGTGAGCTCTGTGCAAGGAGGGGGAAGCGTGCGCTCAGGCCCCCAGCAGCCCAGGCCCCTCACCCTCTGGGAGCGGCCGCTGCTCACGGGCCCCTTCCTGGACTTGCCCTGTGTGGCCCCCAGGTTTCTGGTGGACTCACCCAGGCCCAGCTCTAGCTGCCCCTGCCCGCCCCTGTGTTGGGGGTAGATGTCCCCCCACCCAGACCCTCTCGGAGGAGCGGGAGTCCCCCACTGAGAACCGCCAGGGCCAGCCTTGGGGACGCGGCCCCACCCTTCCACTCCTCCACCGTGCGCTCCTTGGCCTCCACGCTCTCGTCGTAGGGCTCCGCCTCTGGCTCGTCCTCTGGGTCATGGTACTGGCTGAAGTAGGCGTGGGCCAGGGCCTCGGCTGCACTGACCCTCTGGTCACTGTCCAGCACCAGCATCCTGCCCAGGAGATCCACAGCTGTGGGGGCAGGGGTGCCAGGTCAGCTCCACTCCCAGGGCCGAGCGTGGAGCCCCACCCAGGCCCCGGGCCGGTCCTCACCCAGGGGGTTGGCTCCACGGAAGATGCTCCTGAGGTCCTTCTGGGGCATTGGGGGCAGGGACTGGATGTAGGTCCGGGCCTAGGTGCCCACGGAAGGGTCTGAGGGGCTGTTCAAGGCCTCCCCGCCCCTGGCCCTAAGCCAGGCAGGGGCTTGATGGGAGAAGCCCCTGGCCTTTCTCTCCAACAAGCCTGGCCAAGTGCATGCGTGGAACAAAGACTTCCCCCCTCAGATTTGGGGGCTCCAGCACCTTGCCTGGCCCCACAGGCCCGCAGGCCCAGGTATGGTGCAACTCCACGGTCTGTGGCCAGGACACTGCAGGTGCCCAGGCTTCACCCGCCCTGTCCCTCACGCCAGGAGTGTCTCCCCAGGGCACCCGTTTCTCCCTGAAGGGGGCCGTGCCCGCCTTGGGTCTGTTCCACTGTGGCCCATGCTCCCCCCATGGGGCCCCATCTAGTCCCACAGCCCCCTTCCCACCAGGTCAGCAGAGGGGCTGGTGACCAACGACTCACATGTTCTGAGGATATCTTTGCTAGAACCTCAGGGCTGGGTGTGCCCACCACCTCCATGATACGCTTCAGCTGGTCTATGTCTGCCTGGCTCAGGAAAGGTCCAACGGCCAGGCATGGACTCTCCTGGGATCCCAGACCCCAGACCTTGGGTCACTGCCCAGACCCTGCTGTCCTGCCACTGGGGACAGTGATCCCAAGGTGGCATGGTGTGGGGCAGAGGAGGCAAGACTGTCCAGAAAGGGCCAGAGCCCACCTCCCTCGACCCTCACCCCGCAATAGGAAGCCCAACCCTCCTCCCCAACCTGAACCAAGGATACAGTCATTTCCGGGGAAGAGGGCCTTTCCCTGGAGCAGTTCAGCCATGATGCAGCCCACGGACCAGATGTCCACTGAAGGAGGAGGCGCACCATCAGTCTGCCCACCCCAAATCCCG